CAGGAAGAGAAACTCAGTCACTGTGGTCTGATTCTTTTCTTCCATTGTCAGTGGGTTCTGTTGAGAGACAAACGTGTATTCTTTTATTACAAACTATCACTAACAATTACAAATGTTTGAATTCAATGATAAGTTGCCTTAAGCATGTTTGTTACAGACAGGTGAACAATATTGTTGTTCTGAGGTGGGGATTATTTCTAGATTCTGTTTCTGGACAATTGTATAAATATTCTGTAAAATTTTGGGCAACAGTTTGATACGTTTAGTTTTGTAGCTCTAGGAACTGTCTAGCTATATGATCTAAAATTCCTTCAGATGAAATATAAAATTGGATTTGAAATGTGTTCACATTCATAAAGATCTTCCTTTAAAAGGAAAAAATATATAAACCATAGGATAGATACTATTTTAAAGGGAGCATGAAGAACCAATATTATTAGATGCCAAGTAGGTAAGAAATGAAAAGGAGGATTGATATTTCTCACCCCAAATGCATAATTTTAACAAAAGAATATGATTAACATGAGAGCTTCCTCCTCTGAGATTAAGAGATCTGCCATGCAATGGATATTGTCAAGTAGAGATTAAGATTTACTGAGTTAAAATAATATAAAATGTTTTACATATTTTCCATGAACTCTCAAGTCATTCATGATAAATAAACTATAGTAATAAAATATATAAAACAACAACTGTTAATTTTAATCATGGAAAACCCTCAAGAGAATACTTACAAGTGACTTAGTTAAGACAATATGAGCTGTTTCAGATTTACTAGAACAATATGTAGGATGATTTATATTAAAAATTATTTATGAGGATCAATTATGTCCCTCTTTGAATAAACAAAATGTAACAATCATGTTAGTCACAATTTTGTTATCTTAATATGCAATTTTTAGAGTTGATCATGACATCAACTATTTAATTCGTGATTTTCTTATCATATCAATGTTACTTGTATAATGCTACCTCATTGCAGTAACAAAGACTAATGCTGATTTTCATTAGAATCATTATCTGTTGCTGAATGTTTCTAGTTTTAGTCATTAAATACAACCATATATTCATGTGGAGATAAGAAATAAAACAGTATGCCCCTCTTCTGTTTTATTGTCAATCACTAGTTATCTACTTAAGTTTTATTTATGTGCTCATTTAAATGTGCTGCTTTGAGTCTTCTATGGAGTGAAAAGAATAATTCTCTCACCCATCATGTCTAATGTGGTCTTAATCTTCCTCTAGAACATTATTTACTTTCTCTTAGAGAATTATTTCTTGTAAATGGCAATGAAAGTTCTCACATTCATAGGTACAATGTGGTGTTTTGAAGTATGTATAAATTGTGAAGTAATTAATTCAGTTTAATTATTATGTAATATTCCACACATATAATCATGTTCTGTTCCCATTCATGCAGGAAAAACATGAGACACTTAAAACCTCCTAGAGATTTTTCAATACAGAACATTCATATTAAAATTACCTTGCATTATTTTTCAAATTCCAGGCAGATCAATTCAGAAAACTGCACACATTCCATGATTTAGTCTTATGACAACGTGAAGAAAATACCTAAGTCTGATCCCTTCAGAGTATCTGCAATGGGGATTTGTGTTTCAATTTTCAGAGATATCCTGATGTTTCTCCTCCATATTTCAGGCGCATCTAATAGCCTAAAATGTGGCGTGCTCACTTCCTTCTGCAATGGCTTTAACTGCTTCAGAAGCTGTGACCATTTTTTAGACAGAAGAATGATTCAACACCTTGCATGGTGGTGAACCCTCTCTTGAGAGATTCTAGGCAAATGGTGAAGAAATAAACTTCCCATGCAGGACATGAAGAGAGAATCTCTGATTCAGATACTGCACACAACCAGGGACCTCATCCTGGGAGCATGCAATTCAGAGCCAGGTCCCCAAAGAATTAAAACCTCAAAGGCTTACATACACCTGAAGGGGTAAAATTAACATGATCTTAGCAGTATTTGGTTATTATTCTCTAAATGTGTCTTATTTCAAAGAAACCATTTCTGGGAAAATTGTGCATGTATATGTGCATGTATGTATGTGTATGCCTATGCATAGGAGAGGGTGGTATCTTTCTCCATGGGATCTTTTTACCAAGAGAGCCCTCTTTTGTTTCTTTTAACTTTTAGTTAATTTTTAATTAGAATATGTCAATTATTCTTTGGCTGTACCCATATTGTCATAAATGGAAAAATTTAATGTTTTTTTATTATTACTATTCGATTGTATTTGTATACAATATTTTCTAATTTGTTGATGGACACATAATTATTTCCTGTCTGGATAGTTGTTAATTGCTTTGTAATGAGCACCAATGTGAAGATCTTTCATCATTTCATTTAGATATGTACCCATTAGTGGTATTACTAGATTTTATGGTGTTTCTACTTCCACTTTGAACCACTTCCACAATGTTTTCCATAATGGTTGTAATAATTTACCTTCTGACTATTTCTTTTATCACAGTCTTGTTGGCATTCCATGGGACTTTTCTTCTTTCTTTTATTTAATAATCAATGACAATGGAGTGAGGTGTTGTCTCATTGTGGTTTCAATTTGACGTTTTCCTAATAATTAATGATTGTGAGCATTTTTCTTAGATAAGTTGGCCAATTTTGCATCTTTTAAAAAATAGCCAACCATTCCTCATAAATGATTGCCTTGCTCAGCCTTAACACAAGTCAAGGTGCTTAGTCTTACTACAACTTGATAGGCCATGTTTTGTCAATACCCATGGGAGGCCTGCCCTTTTCTGAATAGAAACAGAGAAGGAATGGATGGGGGAGGCAAAATAGAGATAGAAGGGGACTGGGAGGAGAGGAGGGAGGAGAAACTCTGGCCTGGATGTAAAATAATTAAATAAAAATAGCCAACCTAATTTTCAGTTAAGTAAGGAATAAAGAGTTTAAAAGACCACCACCTGCTCTCTGTGACTAGGCAAGCTGAAAAGAAAAGGCTGAGGATGGATGTTGAGAAGCAAGAACAAAGAGGCTGAATTCACAACACTCCAATTCTCAGATCAAAATTTGGGAAGAAAGAAGCCAGGCATGTTGGTGCATGTCTTTGATCCCAAGACTCCAGAGGCAGAGGCGGGTGGATGTCTGTGAGTTTGAGGTCAGCCTTGTCTACAAAGTGAATTTGAGAACAACCAGAGCTACACAGTGAGATCCTGTTTCAAAAAGAAAAACAAAACAAAACCTTGGGACTATGAAAGACTTGAATACTGAAAACTGTGATTAAGACATCTATTCAAGTGTTATTGAGGTTCAACAGCTCCCCTGAACATTCTCACCTTACAGAAAACATAAACCCTCCCTCCCTGCTAAACTACAACATGCCTTTACCTACACAGAACAAAATGGTCTTGCTGAGGTAGATGCTGTAGAGCAGATGTACAACTTTTGGCTTCTCTGGATTACACTGGACAATGTAGAATTGTCTTGGGCTACACATTCAATATACAAACACTAACAAAAACTGATGAGGGAAAAAAAGCAGTCTGCATATGATTTTCATGACGTCTTCCACCATGGATAAACAAAACCATTGTGAGATATTAGTTTTATTTATTTGTTCCTCCTTCAAAAAAGTCACTTAAAACTATCAAGAAGGTCTCAAGTTTCTGATCACTAATAAATGAGAGCATAGCTAAGTAATAAAATGACATTCTTTTTTATACATTTATTTTAAAAGTATAAGAATATAGGGCCGCTTCAAACTAGTGGAATATTGTTACTTGTGAAATTAACATATTAACATCTGGTTCAATGGTAGTATTGTAGTTGCAATGACCAGTGAAATTGCAAGGTGCTTATGGATATTTTTGTTCCAATTTACGCTTAGTGTGTTACATTCTTAAAAGAAGTTGCTTTCAAATGTAGGTGTTGCCAAAAAGTGATGGCATAGATAAGATGGTAGTGAAGTCAAGGATGTTTGTTTTGGGGCAGACGGGACCTAGAAGAGTCTATTGAAGAGGTATTATCAGATAGCTGAAACTTTAAAGTGCTTGCTATGTAAACTTTAGGACCTGAGTTCAGATCCCTAGAACCCACATGAAGATGATGTGTAGCTCACATTTATAGCCCCAGTGATTGTACAATAGGATGTGAGGCAAAGGCAAAATGTTTCCCAGAAGCTGGTGGGCCAGCTACCCTTGTAATGGTGGGGGGGGACCGTGGGTCAACAACAAGACAGCCTGTCTCAAACAACATAGAGTGAGAAAGCTAACATCTAAGGTTGTCCTCTGACTTTCATGTGTGTGTGCCAAGGTGCGCATGTGCGTGCATGTGCGTGTGTGTACACACACACACACACACACACACACACACGAGAGGGCGAGAGGGACAGAGACACAAAGAGAGAGACAGAAACAGAAACAAAGGGAGCCAGAGACAAAGAGACAGGCATGGTCTATTTTTTCTTTACGTTAAATGATATATTGCAACTCATTGCATTCCATTTGAAAGTTTCAGCAAGTAACATGTTTAAGAGAGCTGAAGAGAAGTAGCAAATTTTTCAAAATACTGTTTTCCCAGAAATCTTGAAATATAAGTAGGGAAGGGGAGAGATGGCTTAGCAGGTAAGAGCACTGGCTGCTCTTCCAGAGGACTTGGTTCAACTTCCAGCGCACAAATATCAGCTCACAACTGTCTATAACTCCAGTTCCAGGGGATCCAATGCCTTCTTTTGGACTCTTCAGACACTGTACACACATATTACACTTACATACATATGGAAAATATTCATACATAAAAATAGATCTTAGAAACAAGTAAGACTACATGCATTGGAACACCTCCATGACTTGAAACATTGTGTTGAAAATATGGTTCTCATCTTGAAGATGCATGGTTAACTAAAATCATTTCAATGAGCAGTTAAATTCAATAAAATCGCTACATCTGTAAGCTAGTTTCCATCACAATCTGTCACAAGTTTGTGAAATAGTCCGTAACCAGGCAGAACAAAGATTCTCTTGCAAACTCTGATTCTCACTCCGGCGGTCTTTAATGTATATTTTGCTCCCCAACTTAGGTATGTCACAGAGAGAATTTTATTTTAAGCACCTCTTAGGAAGTGCTTCCTCTCCAATGTTCTACTGAATGCATTTTTCACCTCTTTGTTCCTCAAGCTGTAGATGAGGGGATTCAACATGGGGATCACCACAGTATAAAATAGGGAGATCACTTTATTGATATTCAGGGAGGAACTGGCGTTAGGTCGAACATAGGTAAAGAAAAGAGTCCCATACAGGATAGAGACCGTTGCTAAGTGAGAAGAACAAGTGGAGAAGGCTTTTCGTCTCCCATTGGCTGTCTGAATCTTCAAGATGGCCATCAAGATGCAGACATATGAGACCAGGATGATCAGACCACTGAGCACACCTACTCCTCCAGCCAAGATAAAAAGCACCAACTTATTAATCTGGGTATCAGTACATGCTAGAGACAGCAATGGGGAAATATCACAGAAAAAGTGGTTGATGATATGTGGACCACAAAATGGTAAGCAAAAGGTTAAAGTTGTGTGAGTCATTGTACTTATAATAGCAATGACATAAGGCCCAATAACCAAAAGCACACAGACATTCTGGGACATAATGAGTGTATACACCAAGGGCTTACAGATGGCTGTATACCGATCATATGCCATGGAAGCAAGGAGGAAACACTCAGTTGCCACAAAGAGACCAAAGAACCACATCTGTGCAGCACAGCCCATAAAAGAGATGACTTTGTTCTTTGCAAAGATGTCACACAGCATCTTGGGAGCTATGGAAGAAGAGGAGCACACATCTACAAAGGACAGGTGGCTGAGAAAAAAGTACATAGGTGTGTGCAGCCTGGGGTCCACCCATATGAGAGTGATCATGCCCAGGTTACCCCCCAGGGTGACAAAATAAACAAAGAAAAAGATGATGAAGAGGACAATCTTCTGATGGAGGTTATCTGTGATACCAAGGAAGAGAAACTCAGTCACTGCAGTCTGATTCTTTTCTTCCATTGGTCAGTTGGGATCTGTCAAAAGAATAAGAATTATGGCTTACCAAACCCAGTCAATTGACATTTGAAATAAATGGCACATTGTCCTCAACAGGTCTATTACAGACAGTTGGTCAGCATTGTTGAGCTGAGTGCTAATAAGATTCCTAGCTACTAGATCTGGACAGTTGTGCAAAATCTTAGGCAAACTTCAGCAACTTAACCCTTGAGCTCTTTGGGATCTGAACACTCTTCCATCAAGAGTTATCTAACTACATTGATCTAACAGTCCCTTTGATTTTAAAATTATATTTGTAATGAAAATTACTCTCCATTTTTCATCTTACTATATGATAGAATAATGAAACCCTCCAAAGTATTTTAGGAAATAAATCAGCTTCTAAAGTGTTTGCCCTGCAAACATGAGTAATAAAACTTGCTCCCTAGAACTCAGAATCAAAAGATAGACTTGATGGTATGTGCTTTGTATGATCCCAGGTCTAGAGAGACAAAGTCAGGTAGATCCCTTTGGCTGACTCTCCAGCTGGCTTATCCCACTTGGCAAGTTCTAAGCCAGTGGGAGACCCAGTCTTCAAAATCAAGGTGGAAAGTACTGAGGAATGTCAGCTGAGGTTTTCCTCTGGCATACACACACACACACACACACACACACACACACACACACACACACACACACAATTTTAATAATTCTACTTGGATATACTTTTATTCAGAACTCTGTAAATACAACTGGGAGTTTAGGATCCTATACCATACATTAAGGAAATGTTAAATATGGCATCCAATTCTTATTGGATAATGAGAACTATAAAAATACTAAAAAGATGTAGTTCATATATGTGTGTGTGTTAGCATTTCCTTATAAAGAGATGTGGAAAATATAACTGCACACTTGGCAGAAAAAAAGGATGGCCATTCGGAAAGATAGTAAAACATGTGATTTTCATTTAATACTGATATTTCAATGAAAAGAAAAAAATAAATTCAGTCTATTACTGGTGTGAAGTCAAAAGTGGCATCAAGAAAAAGAATGTAAGATGACAGATTGAGAAGAAAGGAAAAAGGGTCAAAATTTCTTACAATTGCATTCTTCCAATAAATGATTATGCTGTCATGGAAGAGCATGAGAGATGCTATCCTAGAGATCAGGGGGTCTGACAAACTTTGGAGGTAATTTGTCATGGAAATTGCAAAGAAAATTAAGCACCCACAAAGTTAAAATAACATAAAATTATTTTACATGATTTTCCATATGAGCATAAACTTCTTTAAAATTAATTATTATGATATAGCACTGCTACTATCAAATCAAATCAAATAATAATAAAAATAAGTAAGATGGTAAATTTATAATAGTTTAATACAGATAAAATCTTCAACATTATATTTTTGTGTGACATGTGGGTCAATAAATAGTAGAAACTATTCAAATTGTCTAGATTATTATGTATGATAATCTATACAAAAATATATGACTTCTACAACAAAGTGCTCTTTCAAAGAAAAAGCAGTTTGTCAGATGACTGCTAATAGTGAAGAACCATACACATTTCAAATAGTTTAAATGACTTAACCTGGATGATTTATTAGTATTATAATGATATCCTCATGTTGATGTTGGGTGCATTTTAAGCAGTTAAATGGACAGTTCTCGATTTTTCTTGAGTACTGTCCATTGTAGAAATGGTTGGTTCGTGTCCTACATTCTCTTTATCTACTCTCATGCAACTCACTATGATAAGTGTGTTAAGACAAAGTATAATGTAAATTGATACAAGTTCAAAAGCAGTTTATTATCTATTTATTAATTATCTGAGTGCAAGTTATTTTGAGTCATTAAGTGAAGAATTGTTTCCAATTGACAAATAAATTTGTATATATTTCTGATATTAGAAAACTATACTACAATGATGCTTACCTTTTATGAAGATCAACTGAAGCTAACTAATCTCACATACATATTGCTTATTATGGTGTAGTCATTTAAAATTCCTCAATGATTTTCAAGAATTGAGTGTACTATGGCTACAAGCATCTCTATATGTTTATGCTTTAACCCCAGGCAAATTGGTTTAGAAAAACTCACATAGACCAATTGTAAACTCTGATAATTCTGTGAGTAAAATACCAAAATCTTAGGGGTCAGAGATCTTGTCCTCCCAGTTCACAACATTACTGTTTCTCGATCATGTTTCAAAACTTCCTATTGTCCAGAACCCAGTCTACTCACTTCTTAAGGATTTCCTTTCTGCATCTCCTTTATCTACATTAAAGAAAATGGTCATTTTCTAGAAGATATAAGATTGTATTTTCTTCATTATGGTAATCTTTCTGAGTACTTGGGGAAGATAATGAATCTCCCACCCTGATAGACCTAGGCATGAAGAAGAATTTCCTGAACTTAACACTGAGTCACATACTGCACAGAATAAAAGACCTCATCCAAGCAGCATACAATAATTCAGAGCCAGGTCCCCAAAGAACTTAAGCCCCATGGGTTTACACCTGAAGGGACAAACTTTAAATGATCTCAATAGCATTTTGGCCAAGTATTACTTTCTAACTGGATCTCATTATAAAGCGTGTGTGTGTGTGTGTGTGTGTGTGTGTGTGTGTGTGTGTGTGTGTGTGTGTATCTGTCTGTCTGTCTGTGTGTGTCTATGTGTGTCTGTCTGTGTCTGTGTCTATGTGTATACATGTGTTCCTGATCTGTCCTCCTTATCATCATCTTTTCTTCCATCAGCAGAGTGATATATCAGCAGCATCTGGGAAGAAGTGATTTTCTGCCTCCATTCTGAAACCATATCATTTAAGCATAAACCCCAATCCCAGGTTTACTTATTGTCATGTTAAGTAAGTTAAGACTATCTCTGTCTTATTCCCTTGTTCTCCAAAATAAAGGAAACAATCTCTAGTTGACATAGAGGCTAGATATGTTTACTGAGTATTTCTTAAATGTAAAGCACCAAGTAGATGCTTTGTAATGTTGTTTATTATCATTAGAGGTCAGGAACATAGTTGAACAGATAATAAGCATGCATACATATAAAAGAACATATCAAAGTAGCATTTGCTTCTCTCTAGGTTAAAACATAAAAACAGTTATTGAACTGCTAAAGAATCTGGAACAAGTGAAAACTTTTTTCAAAAATCAAAATTGTCAAGAAAGTTGAGAATGTTTTGATAAATTCAAGAGAAAATAAAATCCAAGAATAGGTTAGCACACACAGGAAAGCAAGAATAGAAGGGTCCCATTAAAGGGAAGAATGGATGACACAGATTACCTATCTCAATCACTACTATCTCTAAAATTATTATTGTTTGTCCCATCAGGAATATCTAACACAAATTCCTATAATATTTCATTGGCAGCTCATTTTTTTATTTATTGTATTGATCTCAGGAAACAGTTCACTTGGATATAGCTATATTAACTTTCGACTAAGTATAGCTTGAGCCAAAAACGTTATCAAGCAAAAGAAGATGACTCTATAGTCATAATGAGACTAAAATCACAAAAATGTTGCATTCCTAAATGTTTATACAATGCAAAAGAGAGCTTCAAAATATTATGAAGCAAAAATTGATAGAACTTTAAGGAAAAACAATGTATTCACAATTGGAGTGGGGGATGCCAAGATAATTCTCTCAATAATTGACAGAACTTAAATATCAATAAGAGTATAAAGAACTTATGTAATAATAAGTACATAAATACTGACAGAAAATTTTAACCAACAGTACTAGTATGTCCAGCTATTAAATGCACTTCAAGTAATTATCAAGAGAAACCATACTTATGATCATTTGCCCCCTTTTGTTGAAAATACATTCTTTCCTTATACAATATATCTTGATTACAATTTCCCCTTCCTCTACTCCTTCCGGTTCCTCCCCACTTCCCCTCCCATCTGGATCCACTTCCTTTCTATCTCTCATTAGAAAAGAACAGGCTTCTAAGAGATAACAACAAAAATGGCAAAATGAAATACAATAAGATAAAACAAAAAGTATCTCATTGAACTTGGATAAGACACACACCAACAGAAGGAAAAGAGCCCCAAGAGAAGGCACAAGAATGGGAGACCCACTCATTCACACTCTCAGGTGTTCCGTAAAAATACTAAACTGAAAAGTATAATAAATATGAAGGAGACCTAGCACAGATCTGTGCAGTCCCTGGGCTAGTTGCTCCAGTTCTGTGAGTTCATATGAGTTTTGTCCAGTTAATTTAAAGAGCCTTGTTCACCTGGTGTCTTCCATCCCCTCTGGCTCTTATACTCTTTCTGCCTCCTCTTCCACAAGGTTCTCTGAGCTCTGAGGAAAACCATTTGATGGAGATACCCCATTTAGAGCCAAAGTCTCTCTCTGTGTCTTTGTCTCTGTCTTTCTGTGTGTGTTTCTCTCTCTGTGTCTCTCTCTGTATCTGTCTCTGTCTCTCTGTCTCCCTGTCTCTGTCTCTGTCTCTCTGTCTGTGTCTGTCTGTCTGTCTCTCTCTCTCTCTCTCTCTCTCTCTCTCTCTCTCTCTCTCTCTCTCTCTCTGTGTGTGTGTGTGTGTGTGTGTGTGTGTGTGTGTGTGTGTGTGTAATACCTGGCTGTGAGTCTCTGTATTTGTTCTCATCTGCTGCAGGAGGAAGCTTCTCCATTGATGGCTGAATAAGGCACTGATCTGAGTATGACAGAATTTCATAGGAGTCATTTCATCACTACGTTTATTTAAAGACTAGAAATATTTGGTTTTACCCTAGATCTCTGAGCTATCTAGTTTCTGATTCTTGGTGACCCAAGCAATGCGAGGTAGGGGTTCTACCTTGTGCAGTGGGCCTTAAGTAAAATCAGACATTGGTTTGTTACCCACAATCTTTGTGCCACAATTGCCCTGGCATATTTTGCAGGCAAGACAGGATTGTAGAGTGATGCTTTTGTGGCTGGTTTTGGTTGGCATTTACGTTTCTATTTGATACCCTGAAGAGTACTATCCCATACTAGAACTTTAAAATGTAAGAGTGAAGGTTCTTTGTAGACAC